TTACATGTGACAGATGAACGCGTTCTTCTTATGCAGTCTTGTTTAGCAGCCATCAGGCTGATCGGAGATCTCAGCTATAGGTGTTTGTCATCGATTTTTGAGTACGAAGACTTGTGCAACCACCGGCAAACATTCATCAGGCAATAGTTATAGCACCAATGCAAGCACGTCAGCGTGGGGTACGCATTCCACGATAAGTAGCTGCACACGCACATGAACATACATCTGCATCGATAGTGGATATTACTTTGACATCATCACAGTCAAGCCCATCAGCTACATATGTTCCCTAGACCGATATAGCATGTCCACCAACACTATATGTCCCAGTTGGTGATTACTACAGTCTAGCACCTGTTGTTGACCATGGCGCTACACCACCAATTGATCATCCTACACAGACACCTACATCATGTGATCTACCACTGGCCTCACTACATGTTGATACATCGATGTCTCCATTCACACCTTCACCAAAGTAAGTGGGTACAAGAGTTATGCCATATGTACTGGACTAGAAAACCACATCACTTCCCGATGTGGCTTGTATACCACATATTGTTCCACCACTCCCCACATGGCCTATTTCTTCTTTTCCATATGAGGACTATTCTGATGATACAGAGGTTCCTATTAAGAGAGTGACACAAAAGCCATCATTGTTACACAGAGGTCGAGGTAGAGGTGGGCGTGAAGTTGATCGTCCTAGCCACCATGCACATGATCCAGTAGATGGTGGAGTCACTCAGGATATATCGGCTCCTCCTGATGGACAACAGCCCAAGCAACAGAGGAGACCACCACCTTGTGGGATATAGTCCATTTTTTTCGTCTATGTTGTATATAATTTGTGCCCATTAGTGTTGTATATAAAAACTCTTTGGGTTTATAGTTTGATATTGTTTAATTTCATTATTGTCTTTCAAATTAGTTATCAAACACTCTAAGCAATGTTTCTTGAAGAACATAACATAATTTATTGAAATCTATATGGAAAATACTAAATAGAGTAGTACACCATATTTCATAGAAACATAATAAAGAAATATACTTGCAAACACAAATACGACGATCAAAGTGTAAATATTACAACATAGGAGTTGCATATCACTTCTTCATGGGTCTTCATCTTTGTTAGACATCTCCACATCAAAAATACATCCAACTTACCCACTCAATTGGAAGCTTAAAATTGCTTCTTGTATCCTCCCTTCTGCAACACGGTCGCTTGCAATACGACGCAAGTTGAATCAATTGTCAAGGATTGTCATTCGATTCTTCTCAACTCGAATACGAAACAATGCTCGTTCTAATTCTTGAGGAGTGGTAATAGGCATACCAATAACAACTTGTCGAGGCCTTCTTATATTGCAAGAACGTAAATCTAAGCATAAATTTTTTCTTTCCATCAAGCGATAATGTCATTATGCCATCATTGTGTTTCTAGCTGTTAGTGAATAACGTAAGCGAGGATTCATTAGGTAAAAAAACTCATCCTCTAAATCCAATGAAAACCCAGAGTTTCAAACATTGTTCTCGAACTATAATTCATGGTTAGAGATGAATTTTGTACATTAAACATTGCACATGAGTTCAAAGTTATAGGCAAATTATGTATATGGGTATGTCAGTATACAACCTCAATGAATGACATTAAAGCATTGTGTAGTCACAATGACTGACATTGTAATAATGTGTAGTCATAATGACTAACATTGAACCAGTGTGTAATCACAATGACTGACATTGAACCAGTGTGTAGTCACAATGATGCAATTGTCATGTTGTACCTATTTCTTGTCTAGTAGCACACATTAATGAAGACCATGCATTGCACTTCAATGCACTAGTGTTTAGTCACAATCAAATTCCTATAACTACACACTAGTTTAATGCCAAAAAACTCTAATACAGTTGAATGTATCACGGATGTGAATCGGGGCCTAGTAACTTCAACGTAGTAGACGTCTCAGTGTGTAGTCACAGTGACTACATACTAGTGTGTTGTTATGCTGACAGATAATAGTGTGTAGTCACACTGACTACACTCTTTTTTCAATGTTTCACCATCAACTCAAATATAAATGTGACTACACACTATTGCAATGCTGACAGTTGTGCTTATACGACAAAATAAGTAACTACACACTATTACATTTAAGACAATGAAACCACTATAAAAACATAATACGGGATTTGTTTATATNAATTGTGCTTATACGACAGAATAAGTAACTACACACTGTTACATTTAAGACAATGAAACCACTATAAAAACATAATACGGGGTTTGTTTATATCACATGTATTTTACATTTTGTGTACATCAAGACCACGAGCAAGTGATAACAACTGTAGCCATGAACTAGTTTGGTTATTACAAGAGCCAGATGATGATTACAAGAGTGAGATATTTTCTGATCCAAAAAAATTATTATGTCAGACTCTGACAAGAATGGGCTTTTCGTGCTAATGAATCATACCCATTATACACAGATCTGAGAGAACTTGGTATATTGGTGTCACATAGACTTTTACTTACCATGTCGCGAAGGAATAGAGTGAACTATGAATCATCAGTTAAACGTGTAAGAAAGGAGAATAATAGCATGATGTTGCGTAAGTGTCGATATTATATGCTCCAAATAGCAACTGACATGATGACAACTACATTTGGCAGGGTGTTGACAGGTATTGAGTGATCTAATGCACTATTTAATGAACAATACCTATCAGATGAGTAAATGTTTGATGAAAATCAACAAATGTAATAAGTGTCCAACTTATTAAGCATATAGCATTTATTTCTACGTCCTCTTTACTTTAATCAATATTGTGGCTTTATCAGTCCATTCAATGTGTTGTCATATCTCAACTTTTTCATTGTCACATCCTGTCATTATCAAATCAGTTCCAAACTTTGCAGTGTGATGTCCTATTTTTTTTAACCGATATCGTGGCTTTATCATTATATTCAGCGTGTTGTCATATCCCAACGTTTTTATTGTCACATCCTGACATTGTCAAATCTGTTCTGAGCTTTGCAGTGTGATGTCATTTCACTATAATTTTAAATTACCAAATCGAGCATATATATGCTAGCATTCATAATTCTATAAAATGCACCCCCACCAAATAAGATGCATAGGTGCACATCACATAAACAATAGATTCAAACCAATGAATGTTCTTCTTCACGCTATGACCAAAATAGTTCTTCTTCAACTAACAAACGTAAATGCTCAATTGACAAATCAACATTGCTGAACAAAGTTCCTTCTATTGGATCATATACTGATTTCGGTGGTGTAATGTGGTACGGACGAAGGTGTGCAATCGGCAATGAGCCCATTGACCCTTATCTCTCATTCGGGCAAGTTAGACATGTAATTATTGGCCCTGCAATTGACTATCCACCTCCAAGTGCTCATATCGAACTCACGCTAAGATGACGACAGTTATATGATAAACGTTGTAACCTTGAAGTAATTTGTCGTTTGCATGGACTTGCGGTACCAAAGGCACGTTTGGCTTATTTTTAGAATTCATAGAATTTAAACAATCATGGCAATGTCATATCAAGGCTTGAACGTGAAAATTATCAAACACAGTGTTGCCTTGATCATTTCCATGCAATCGAATATGCAAAAACAGATCATTTTCAGTCTGAAAATGCCGAAATTGAAATTTTAGAGGATCCGTTACTTGTTTTCAATCCTGAACTTTCTGATTTTTCTGATTTGGACAATGACACGTCTAACACTTGTATCCCCTCATGTTTATGTGTACTCGATATTCCTTTATGTTGTTTTGAATATCAACCACGTTATTGACAACCTTAAAACCCATCAAATTCACTATAAAGTGTTATGAAATAAATGCTCACTTTTTTTGTTATGAATAACTTATAATTTTATTCCGCTTAATAAACATTATTGTTGACATGATCAAAATTAAAATTAATTTTTTATTTTTATTATATGTATGCATTTAAAATTATATGATAAAATTAAAATTAATTATATGTATACGTTTTCAAATTTTTAATTTTGATATGATCAAAATTTATGTATTTTTAAATTATCAAAATTTATTTACTGAATATAATTAAATTTTTAAATAAATAAAATTAAACATTTACTCATAAAAAAAGATAGGGACAAAAACAGTTTTAGGTTTTCAATAAAATATCAGTAGGACCAATAGAAATTTATGTATTTTTAAATGATTAAAATTTATTTACATAATATAACTAAATTTTTTAATAAAAATAAATAAACATTTACTTATAAAAAAAAAGAGGGAGAAAAACAGTTTTAGGTTTTCAGTAAAGAGTCGGTAGAACCAACAAAAATTTATGTATTTTTAAATGATCAAAATTTATTTACTGAATATAATTAAATTTGTTAATAAATAAAATTAAACATGTACTCATAAAAAATATAGGAATAAAAATAGTTATCAGTAAAAACATCAATAGAACTAACATTTTTAAAAAGCTTCAGTTAAAATGACGTTTCTACTAAAAACGTCAGTCAAACTAGCGTTTTTAGGTGTGTTATATGACTTTTATCTTGCAATAGAAAATGTCAGTTGGTCTGACTTTTTTTTCCTAAAAATGTTACTTTAACTGACGACTTTTGCTCTAAAAACGTCATTCTATTTGATGTTTTTAAAACAAACTTTGGGAAATATTTTGAAAAAAACCCTCTTTTGGGTATAATTTTGAAAAACCCCATGGGTTGGGGTAAAAGCTCATATGTCCTCTATATAAACATCAACATGCATGGAAAGCAAGTACGACTTTGCTATTTAATATTCTTTTGACTTTTGCAGTAGTTTGGAATTAAAAAAATGACCATATCCATATTATTGCTTCATAAATAATCAACACGTTGTGCCCCATTTAATATTCCAGAGCCAAGTGACCAAAGGAATGTGACACAACAAATTCGTCACCCTATCACAGCTAAAAAACAAACTCCTAGGGCATGTTTGTTTCAAGGATTATTTATGTCTTCTGCTGGATCACCACTCGAACAGGAGCCTACACTTTCAATCAGCTCAGCCGGGGACACGTCAAAAACCTCCATCATTTTCTCAAACAAAGGATATGGATCAATGCAATGTGTTCTTGCAAACTTGTTTGCCTGCAAGTTAATCACTATTAAACACATCAAAAATTCAAGCGAATGTGAAAACAAATTAAACAAAGAGACATAAGATGATATTCATTATTGTAGTTTTGAAGTAAACACTTACCACTAGATAGTCACGTGCTCCAGCGATCGGCCCATCGACGATGCACGAGTCAACCGAGTCCCAAGCAAACATCCTCATCTTCAACATAGCCTTGATAGTGAAGTCTTGCTTCTTCCAGAAAAAAATAATCTTGACAAGTTCAATTTGATCAATGCAAAATGCAGGCAGTCTCCTTTTAACCCGCATTAACACATCCCTGAAGTATTAGGCTGTCATGCTACCTCATTCGGGCACTATGCCCCATTGTTTGTTTCGAAGTAACAACGCCATCAACACTTCACTTTCCACATCACTAATTCAAGAAACCGACATTTTTTACATAATATTGTGCAAACCAAATGCACAAACCATTGACACACCACCAATTTATACAAATTCATTAAACAATAAATCATATCATAACACAAAAATCAATTACAATAGAAATCCATTGATAATGTTACCCATATTCATACATTCCCCAATTAATGTCAAAACATAGGAGTTAATATTGCAAACACTAACCATAAAGATTGTTCAAAAGGTGCCAAACAAAATACAAACATAGTTCAAGAAAGTCTTCCCATAAAAAGTAAAGAATATGGGTTAGTACTATACCCAAAACAAACATCACAACATACATGAGATAGTTACCAACTTTACGGTCTCCCTTGCCCTCGTCATCGCGCCCAACAACTGCCAATGCTACCAGAGGAATGTCCATTGCATCTTTTACACGAAGATTATCCAAAGGTTGATTTTGATGGACATCCACTTAACATTCATGTTGGACATCTCTTACTACATCTTCATTATCAATGTACGTGCACAATGCATTTTCTGCCTCATTGTACGAATCATAAGACTTGTACAATGTGCTCAGGTACCTATTCACTTGCACTTGACATTCTTGCCATGTCGTATAGACACCAACTTGTCTTCCAACAAACATGATGTAAAAACGTGTTCTCCTGTGCATCACTTGTCTAACTAAATACATGTTAGTACATTTCTAGGCAAGTGCATACCAATATAAAAAACAAGTGTTAATAAACAACACGTCATTATGCAAGTACGGCTGAGTTTTTCAAACTTCATAAGAAATAACACCCAAATGTACTTAAACATATTTTACATATGGACATAGGTGAACAAGCTAAAAAATTGGATAGTATACCATGTCCCTTTATAAGATCTATACGACTAATTTCACCTATATCATGTCGAAAAAAACAAGCACCATACTTAACCCTACATCTATTGGTAGCTCGATCTGTACAACAACTTTCTTACCCAAGATGACTTTGAAGCGTCAGACAAGCTAATGAACAAGTCCACCTTAACTAAATCAGAGGCAATTCTGTAACCAGCCTCATAGAGTAGATCCTCATCAAGCCACCCAATTTTCTGAAGCTTAGCAAAGATTCTTCTCCTCGATTTAGAAATATGTTGGGCATAGCCTACCCTATGTGCAATATTATCGAGCTTACGACCACAAGTAGCAACATAATCACCTAAGACCCTTGTCATATCACCCAAGCTACCTGAAATGACCTTGGTAGCTATCGAAGCCTTTCTCTTTTTCGTCTTTTTGGTAGTGGGGGTGTTAGTGGAAACATCCATGCCTTGAATTGTACTATGACTTGGGCCATTTGTCTCATTTTCATTGTTAATGCCTGTCGGGTCAACTTCATAGTCTGCATCCTCATTGTCATTCCCTCCAATCATTTCATCAAGATCCTTCACAAATTCTCCTATTGTGTGATCCTTGCCAAAGATAATTCTCCAATCTTTGTAGTATGGCCAACATTTTTCACACATCCCCTTAGCCTGTTTATCCTTCTACAACAATTATACCATGAAAGAACATGCCTCAAATAAGTGGAGTACTAAAAATAACAAAAGACCTCTATTAATTAAAAAGTGGTATATTAGACCAAATTACCATTAAATACTCCTCCCAAACATCATTAGAATCAACCTCGATTTTGTTATCAGTGTCATTAAACCCGAAACCTCTCATGTTTATCATAGATAGTATACAATTATACTGCCTCTTCCACATTTTTATCTTTGATTCAATGCGTGGTTGTGCACGAAGCGTACTGCTGCCAATTCTTTGTTCTAGCATCTATAGAAAACCTGGCCTGAATGTACCATTAGGACACTTCAACCTTGCTGCGCATAGATCCTTCAATGCGTATAATAGTTGTGTCTCTTTCGCACTTGCCCATATTCTCTTTGTACTTTTTTCACTTGAATACCACTCATAACATGCGAGCTGCCAACACTAACCATATTCTATGTATGTATATATATGCACATATATATTTATCAGTCTAAAGCGAATATGCAATGTAAAATCAATTACAATACGGCAAATGTAGAATGTATTGCATAATAACACCACCAAATAAATTGTATAACATAACATTCAGGACAACCATTAATCAAACTAGACGAAGTATCACTAACACATTACAAACATATTAGCCATTTAGTCTACTAATTCAAGGTCGCAAAATAACCACCTCCCCCCCAAATTCATCTACCCATCTACCATGCCTCATACATTTCATTCGCCAATTGAGTCTTCCAAGCAGTCCACGCAGTAGAGGTCTTAACACTGTCAACTACATTGGCGTTGGTATTGTCATCGTCCTTATTAAGAATATACTCAGGTATGTGGTCTTCCAATAGGTCAATTAGCAACTCATTTCTAATAAGATTATGTAACAGACAACAAGCAGCAATAATTCTATTATGTTTGGGGACTGGGTAGAGACAAGCAGTTCAAAGGATTGCCTATCGTATCTTGAGGAGAGAAAACACGTCTCAATAACATTCCTGTCAGAGGAATGTTTTAGGTTAAAATATACCTCAGCATTATGAGGAGCTGCTCTTCCACTTCCAAATTCATCAAGGTGGTATTGTTGACTAGGGATGGAACTTTGGTTGGGCAACCCGATTTCAACTCAAAAAAATTAGGGCTTGGGCAAGAGTTTTTAATACTTGGATTAGGCTTAGGTCAAAAAATCTCAACCCGAATTCAATTTGGACAGGCCTCGGGTTG